CTTGTGTTATCTTTTACTAATATTTAAATTTGTTTGATGATCTGAAACATTAAAGTGTGACAAACATGCAAAAAAAATAGGAAATCAGTAAGGGGGCCAACACTTTGTCACACCACTGTATATATATATATATTATTTAACAATATTACAATTAATCTAGTTGTCTATCAGATAAATGCAACATTGGTGCACATAAGTGACTTCTTTGCAAAACATGAAAAAAAAGAATATATATGTATATGATAGCCCAAGTTCGCTGACATGGTATTACACGTGTGTGTGTGTGTGTGTGTAAAATTTTTTTTTTTTTTTTAACTTTCTGCAAACTTTTGAATGGTTGTGTACAATGGAATCAAAAGGTTTATGAATAATTAAAGATATAGAAATGTCATTGCTTTACATAAAATATCAAACTAAGTGGCATAATGTTTTGTTTTTTTACATTAAAACATTTTTATTTGCATCTGGTCTAAAAGTTTATTATAAGTGAATATAGAACATAATTTCCCAAAGTTGTCATGGTTTCCTATTCGTCTTTCCTCCCATTTGAAAACTCTCTCATTGCTGGTCACCAACATATGATGCACTCCAAATAGCTTCTTAAATCATTTACACAGCAAGATCTTCTTGGTCATTTTACTCTTGTTTTAAACAGAAGTATTTCAGGCTAGAGATCTTCGCTTTGTTTGCTCAGTTGCTCTTTTGATTATTTGCATGGCGCTGAACAAGTACTTGTGATGAATTCATTGTAAACATGAATGAGCAGCTGATCTGCTCACTGAAGTATGACCCGATTTGCAGAGCATGCTGAATATGAACCGCTCTACCACAACCAGTACATCCATCTTCTTCCGGGAGAACATTGGAACCGAGAGATGGAAGCTAAAGGATAATAAATAATTACCGCTGTGACTGACACGTCTGGCCAGCAGAGGAGGGGACCTCATTAGCCGTGTCCATCCAATGCGGCTCCGTCACTGTGACACTGTCAAATGCAGTCCCTATTAGTGCCACTTACAGACTCGGACCCTGCCTTAGAGCATGCTTCGCTAGCAGGACGCGATTTAAAACAGGTCGCTAGCACCACTGTCACCATTCAATATTGCTAAGTTTGGGCTTGTTTTAAGCCGAGGATGTCCGCTAGAGTAACACCATGTCAGTGAGCTTGGGCTATCATATAGTGGGCGCTAGTGTCTGTGTAATTAAGAGACTTTATTAGATGACAGTCCGAAGCACTGTAACGATGAATGTAGATGTTCATGTTCATATTTGTATCGTATTTCTTCCCCCATGTTCCCAGGTAGCAGGGATTGAAGGTATGCTCATCGCTAATAGGAAGGTGGAGAACCAGGTGAAGACGTACATTACTTACAACAAGGGCCAAGACTGGAGGCTTTTGCAGGCGCCCGCTACTGACTTGGCAGGAAATCCCATTCATTGTGTGCTGGTAAGAAAGGCCTGAGTTGGATTGATTGTTTGTTTGGATTATTTATTTATTTATTTACTTACGAAATGTATGTTAGTGAGTGAACTATTCCTATTCCTGCAACTTGGCCAGTTTGTTATTCATATTAATCATTAATATAAAAAATATTTATATTTAATTTTATTTTATTCTAACACACACCCACATATATAC